TCTGCATCTTGAGAGAAAAATCGAGCAAATAGAAAAGGCAGAACACCTCTCGTGTTGAAACTGACTTATGCAAATATCTCTCACTTTCACCAACGAATATACTGACAAAGTTTAGCCCTCCTTTGATTCTTCAATTTCATTAATTAAGTCAAGCATAAATAATAAGTCTTGGGTTAAAATAAGAAGAACATTATGGTTTAAAAGATTTAAGGTGCTGGTTCTGTGGGCGTACAAGTGACACAGGCTATGTTTACCATCATAAAGTCTGTAGGATTCAACTGATCCTTGCAACTAGTGCCACGAAAGCCATTTATAATAACTGATAGAGTTATCTAGGAAATTTTAAAGATTCATTTACTTGTATTTACATATAGAAGTGTTTGACTGATTGTATGTGTATTTACCATATGTATGCCTGATACATGTGGAGGTCATTTAATATGCTGTTCATGAAATCTGACTCAAAACGCACATTTTAAATTTTAGCAATTAATTACAGCAGTGAATCTTAAACATTAAAAATTCCTTTGTAAGTCAAATTATTTCTGATTCTTTTACTCACTTTCTGCATGTATGTATGCACAAACATGGATATAGTCGTGTACCTCAATTGATCTGTCTTAATGTTTAACTCTATCAGTAGTAGGAATCTTAATATTAATCTCTGTTAGCCAATTATTCTTGTGACTGTAGTAAATAATATTATCCAAATGGACCTTGAAATAGTTTACAATTTAATCTGTATTTAAAGCATTAAAAATTAACATAATGTAATATAATATCAAAAACATAAATATTTTGCACAGTAAAGTACAAGAGGTATGTAAAATATCTACAGAATTCTGAAGATGGAAACAAAATATATGTCACTTTAAAAGTTTATTACAATGTGATAAGCTTGGTTTAAATAATAGCTGGAAGGAAAAAATGTCCTTACTTATCTAAATTAGAAACATATCAAAAATGTATAATTCCTCTGGTAACATTAAAAGTGCAGTTATGGGGAGGACTGCATTAAGTTCTCTGGTATGTGCTGCTTGGCCTCATGATTCTCTCAGCCAAGAAATTCTGGACAGTGTTTGTTCTCAACCTATAATACTGGAAGTTCGTTTATACACTATGGGATTAGTAGGAGACAAGACAAGATCTTTCATCCCTGTAGTGGGAGGGGGTTAAAAATACATGCTACACCCAAGAGATTAAAAAAATAATAATTATATAATTACTCATTTTTGGCATTTTGTTGGAAATTTGGACAAAAGATTTCTGTTAAAGAGTTCATGTTGAGCATCTATGACCTGCTATTAATCTATGGATATGCCCTATTCAGTAAACACATTCATTGATCTGAAACTCAGGATCATCGTTATAGATGAAAATACAGAACCCTGTATCAACAGATGGGCATGGGAGCTATTGTGGAAGAATAGAGACCAAAATGGAAGAACATTGAAAATCAACAACTGAAGAGGAATATGGATTTCTGGGAAATGGAAATATTTAGAAAGTATATGCATTAATTTACTTTAGTATGGCCTTTTGATTTTCATAACTGTGGATGCAATGAAGGGAGAACGAGAAAAAGGAAGTTAGTGGGGGAGAAAAAACAGTACAAAATAGTTGTGTACTAACAGTGCATAAGAAAGCACAGGCCATTTTCAAATTAGGTCACTTGAAAAATGAGAGAGAAATTTTTAAAAAAAGCAGAAAGAGACACTCTCGCATATGGAAATGAATCTGAGATAAGGAAATGCGATAAGGTCATAGCTAGTAGAATGACGGAGGTCATGGGAGCTCAAAGTAGGAGAGAAAGCACATGTTTAGTAGTCAGCAAACAGCACACTTGCAGGTCAAAGAGCGAAGAAAAAAGGTCACAGTATGGCACAGCAGAAAATATACTCCAAAGCAAAGCAGGGAGATGCAGCCTCTCTTGACCAAAAGGACAACACACTGCACCTTCTCCTAGGAGCTAAACAGAGAGACATGGATAAAGGATTAGTAAGGTGCCAATAAGTTTAAGGCAGTGTGAGATGGGTAAAGGAAGAAGTGGCCAGGGGATGCTGACGGTGTCAGCTTAAGGTCTGCGAGGAGGTGGTCAGCTTTGGAATGGAGAAGTTTTAGAAATGATTCTAAGAAGGACATTTGAGAGACCGCATCTTCCAGCAACACTGGGAACACAGAGGTCCAGCTGGTGCCCAAAGGGAGACTTCTCCCATACATTCTAGTATCTTTCTCACAGGAGGTATTCTGCAGAGTACGAAAAGAGCAAAGTGGACACCGGCCCAGCCAACAAACCCTCAATCTACAGTCTGTCCTGCCTGCAAGATGTGCTGGGGCAAGGGTGGCACAGAACTTCTGGGAGTGAACAATGTCTGGCTTAAGTGGAGACCCATGCCACAAGAGGGAGCCCATGCCTTCCTCTGTCTGGATAGCCAAGACCCAGAGGCTTGATAGCCCAGAGTCCAAGGCTAGAACCAAATATGACTGGCAAATAAATTATCAAAAATTAACTGATTCTTGAAGATATTCTGCTTTATTCATAGATCAGTGCCTTGTTCAGTTGTCATTAGAAAAGCTCCCCCCTGAAGAAGATGTGGTTAGACGTAATGCAGATAGTCTAAATTAGAGGGCTCCATGGGGAGGTGGGGTCTTCCCCTTGGAGATCTGGGACCCCACAAAAGAGGGGGAGGGAAGATACAGAAGTCAAAGCGGGTGGAGTACCCCAGGAGAACACTTCCCACTGAATCAACTAAGCACGACTCACATGGACTCACAGAGGCTGGAGCAGCAAATACAGTGCCTAAAAAAGATTACACCAGGTACTGTGTTATGGCTGTTAGCTTGGTGTTCTTATAGAACTCCTAATAGTGGGAGCGGGTGTGTCTCTGACTCTTTTTCCTGCTCTTAAGACTCTTTTCCTCTTATTGGGTTGCCTTGTGCAGCCTCTGTGTGAGGGCCTTTGCCTTGTCATCGTAGTGTATCTTATTTTGCTGTGTTTGGTTGTTGTCTCTTTAGGAGCCTGCTCTCTTTTGAAGGGAAATAGAGGCAGAATGGATCTGGGGGGAAATGGGAGGAGTGGAGGGAGGGCAAAATACTATCAGGATGTATTGCATGAGAGAAGAATCTATCTTAAATAAATGTAGAAGAAATGGGAGCTGTTAAAGCCCTGAGTCACACTGAAAAGCCTAAGAAGGGCTGTTGCTTCCATCTCTTTCTAATAATAGGACTTTAAGAGCATTCCTTGCCTACATTTCCTCACTCCCAAAACTGCGATGACTGCACCCATCTGAAAGTGGGCTCACCCAGAAGAACAAAATTTGTCTGCCCCGCCAAACACAATATCATTTTTCCTATTTTGGGATATTCACAAGAGAGGAAACCATGGAGAGAAGGAAAAGAGTAAGAATAAACTGACGTAAATATAGAATGGGGACACTCGATGCCAGATGGAGTCAAGGTAGGGACATGGAGAGTGGAGCAGGTGATGATCAGAGAATGCAAAGTATGTAAGAAAATGTAGTCATAAATCCCAGTGCTTTGTATACTAGTCATAAAATAAAAATCAGATTCATAGTCTGCATGTACCAAGCCTCCAGTCATTACGCTTGTTTGGCATTATGGGAAGCATCAATTCCACAGACTCACAGGGATCTATGGTCATAAGAGATATAGGTAAGGATCTGTTTATATATCCTTACTTAGTGATTTAATAAATTTTATACTGAGGAATTGTGCTTTAATGTCTTAATTGAAGTAGTGGAAGAACCTATACCTTAGGATGTAGTAGACTTTCTCTGCACTGCCAACCAGCTCCCACAGGGAAATATTATTAGTTATGAATGCTCAGCCTCATTTCTTGCTATCTCTTATAACTTAAATTGACCTGTTTTTCTTTGTCTATGTTTTGGGTCTTTTTACCTTTCTTTTATTCTGTATGTTCTCCTCCATGTCTTTCTGACTGGCAGCTGCATGACTGACTGGCCCTGGGTACCTCCCCTTCGTTCTCCCTTGTTCTCTGCCTACTTATTCTCTCTGTCTACCAGCCCCACCTATTTCTCTACTGCCTAGCTACCGGCACATCTTTATATAACTGAACAAATGAAGCATAAACAAATATAACATATTTTATATCGTTAAACAAACACAATATAAACAAATGTAACACATATTTGCTTGGCTAAAGTAATATTCCATAACATATGTATCTTAGTCATCTCCCGTCACTGTGACAAAATCTGAGAGAGTCATCTTACAGTGACGTTGGTTCTGGCTAAAGTTCTCAGAGATTTCAGGCCATGGTGTCTTAATCACAGAGTTTCATATCTGTGGTGGAAGTGCATAGGAGAAGAGGCTAATTCACTTTATGATGGTCTAAAAGCAAAGAGACAGAGAAGGACGCCTACCATTCCCTGCATGGGAACATCTCATCCCCCATATCCACAAATGAGCTAACTTCCTTGACCAGTCCCCACATCTCAAAGGTTCTGTAACAGAAGAAAGCTCTGCCCAAAGTCTCCTAGTTGTTCAAGTTGAATTTTGTGACCACACATTTGAGCAATATATTGGCTTCACGTTTTACCGGCTCTGCCGTCAGTGAGACCACTGACTAGAGCCAGACAATTGACTAAAGAAATTCTATAGAAAGTTGCAATTTGCAATCTTGTCCAGAAACAAGTAACTTTCCCCGTTCTCTGGAAAAAGGTTTTCTTCCAGTATCTTCCATGTGCTCTAGGAGAAAACAGCCTTTGTCTTCCCTCCCTGTTCTCCATGGAAACAGTTATTTAACCTCTGTAGCCTGACACACAGCTGCAGATTTAACTATTCCTTGCAAAAAGAAACAAACAAAAAAAGGTGTATCATAACCCTTTCTGATTGGTAACAACTTTTAGATTTATATAACCCAGAATATTTAGGGATCTTCAAAGAACAGCTCTTTGAATGCAAAGTCTCTGCAGTGGGTGAATGGACCAATCTGAGCTTGAAGCTGCCCTGTTACTCACCTGTGTGATATGCCTTGCACAACTCTGCATAAACCTTTGCTCATCACACCCATGGCACAATGATGTTTGTTGATGGCATTTCCAACTTTTTTGGTTTGACAGTTTTTCCAAAACATCTTTTCCATGGCTCGGATAGCTTCTCCTCAAGCCAGTGGCCTTTCTAACGGAAAATGTTGGCTCACTGCTACTGTTCCATCTCCTCCCAAGAGTAATGTGGCCTGGGCTACAAGCTTTTAACACAAATGTTTGGAGGTGTTCTCAATGAAAACTATAGAGTAATGTGGGAAAATCAAATCAAGAGAGGAGGAGCTGATAAGAGTTGGGAGACAGGAAAGAAGATGATAGTAATATGTGTTTCGAGGATTAACCTTTCATAAAATATGAAAGTTAAACAAGTAAATGATGATTGGATTTTACTGATTTCAACCTTAAAATATAATTTAAATATTAGCAAAATAGATTAAAATACACCTTGAAACTAGGCTTAGTTTGATTACTTTTTAAATTTTTATGAATTTTATTATTTAAAGTGGTCTTTAAATTTAAACCTATTTTGATCACATTTTTCCCTCCCCGAAGTCCTTCCAGATTCTCTCTACTTCCCCCCACACAACTTTGAGTTCTTGCTTAAAACATAAAAACCCAATACAACAAGATAACAAAACCATACCCAAAAAGAAAAACATAAACAAAACACCAAACTATAATCAAATAAACATACACACACACACACACACACACACACACACACACACACAAGCCTCTAGAGTCCAATTACATGTTGATCAACTACTCCTGACTATGAGACCTGACTTGGAGTGGTTGATAAACCTAATGTCATTCTATTGGAGAAAACTGATTTTTCCTTCTCCCAGCAGATAGAAATAACAGTTCAGTTGTTAACAGTTATCCTAGTAGCTAGGTTTTCATTCATTCAATCATTCATTTAAAAACAAATAACAAAATCAAATATAAGATAAAACAAAAACTAATACATCAAAGTTGGATAAGACAAACCCTCAGAATAAAAAGAGCCAAAAAGGAGATATAAGAATCAAAGACCCCATTTGTTCACACAGTCAGAAATCCCAGAAAAAAAAATTAAACTGGAAGCCAAAATATATATTCAAAGGATCTGGTGCCAACCTGTTCAGATACTGTGCATACTGCTTCAGTCTCTGTGAGTTCGTATGAACTATGCTCATGTTGACTTAAAGGACCTTGCTTTCTTGGTGTCCTCCATCCCCACTGGCTCTTCTACCTATTGGAATGGCTAAGAGCAATAAAACCTCATCTTCACAAACTGTTTTTATCACTGTAGCATATGATATCTTGCTTGTGTTCTGGAAAATAAAGCTTGCCTGAAGGGCAGAGTTAGTCCCTAGTTAACCATAGAGGCAAGGCAGTGGTAACACACAGCTTTAATCCCAGCACAATTAGGAAATGGAGACAGGAATTTAGGATCACACTTCACCATTGAGTTAATCATTAATGTATTTGCTATCGATAAATGTTAGCCACATCTAAAACTTGACAGACTCATCATAAGCTCATAAAATGAACAGAGTTTCTGAGGGCAAAAATTTGGAAACTTTCCAAAATTCAAAAAATAGTAAATGATGAAATATACATAACATTTTATATATAATGATATATATGAAAAACTTATGAGACTATATGAGCTTAGGTTTCCTTAAAACCTCAGATACATTCAAGTTTCTTAGTAATGCCTCAAAGATAATATTATTTTATTGCAGTAGCAATATGTGCATATTTATTTTAGAAATAAATGCTTATCAAGGATTCTCTATTTCATAGTTTGACACAGTTAGTTAATGATTAATTAGATAAATACTATTATTACTTGGCTTTTAATCCCTAAAGAAAAAACAAAATACTAGCTGAAATAAATAACATATTTACTTACAAGGCTTCTAAGTTTCCCAGGAAAATACTAGCATACATTATGTCACTTTCATAACAGTATCCATAATCAAATGTTCCAACATTCTTCAATACTTTCTGGTATGGGAGTTTACATATAATAAACAAAGATAAAACAAGGCAATGCAATGCACAGAGTTGCCACCCATGTTCATTCATTTCCAAATGTCCGTGTGAATAATTCAGTGTAATTCATATATAAAATGCTAAGTTGGGCAACAAAGGCAGATGGAAAACTCTCTCAGGCAATAAATCTATTTTAGCAACACTGACAACATTCAGTTTCAGAATGAAAAAGCAAGGTAGTAACTGGTGATAGAATTATATTTTTTTGCGAATTTAAATTCCCAGCATTTCTGCTAAGTATGCATCAAGAGAAAACAATATAAAGACAGCAGCTGATGGTGGTTCTTATTTCACAATAAGCAACGCAATTGATCTTATTAGGAACTTAAGAGAGCGCAAGAAAAAACAGGAAATCCATTTTTTATGACATTTGGAAAAGAGCTGCAGCAAGGCTTCAAAAACAGAATGAAATGTTAGATAACAGTCAACACTAAAGCTAATTTAAGAAAATTAAAATCTGCTGTATCTAACATGGTTTAGACAAGAATAAATGAAACTAATATTCTTGTCCATATTATAACATAAACTAATGAAATAGAGTATCAAGTAGTATATCAAATTTTAAATTTGTGAATCTATATAGTGTTTTTCAAATATAGTACACAAATCATGAATTAGTTGCTTATTGTATTATTTTATATGACTTTTTTTTTCTTATGCCATGAGGAGCCTGTACAGGCGGTTCTGTTGAACTTGTCTATATTGGGTTTCATGGTCTAAGTTGATGAGGACTACTGACGAGGTCTCTTCCTCAAAAGGGCACAAGATCTCATTACAAATGGTTGTGAACCATCATATGGTTGCTGGGAATTGAACTCAGGACCTTTGGAAGAGCAGGCAGTGCTCTTAACTGCTGAGCCATCTCCCACCCACCTAATTTTATATGTACTTATGTATTGTTTTATTTATCCTATATAATGCTCATTTTGGGGGAAATGATTAAAAACTTCAGTACAACTGTCATTCATCCATTCCTTTGTGAGAATTTTGTCTCTTTATTTTTTAATTTAATTTTATTATTGCTACGTCTGTGTGTCAGCACATGTATGTGTACGTTTATGTATGCATGATGAACATGTGTAAATATGAGTACATGAATGCCACAGAATGTACATGAATGAAAGAGGACAACTTTCAGGACTTGGTTCTTACCTTCTTCATTAGAGATATCTCACCACCCCATTCACACTCTGTCTGATGTCCATTTTTCTGAGGCACTTTCTACAGTCTTGTCACTGAATAGTTAACTCACTTGAGACTCTGTTGCAGATAGCGTTGCATATAGTGTCACTCTTAATTGCTCCATGTAATTCATGCTATAATCTTAACCCGAACTGGCTTTGTTATCTATCTGGATGCCAGGATGCTGGGAGTAAAGGCCTTTCTCCATGGTCTGTACATCTTCATGTGCTATAGCACTTGTGGGGTAAAGCAAGAGAACTATTGTGGTTCTCTAAAGGAGAAAAGTAAAAATAACTCATGGAAATATGTAGCGTATGATTTAATATTCTTAAAATTTATACTACATAAGACATGAAATTGCATTTAGTAACGTTGAGAGAGAAGGAAATGTGAATGGGAAATCTACCAAACATTTGCATTACAGAAAATAATGAAATAAACAAATATAAGGAAGCATTGAGCCTGAATATAAATGTATGAGTTTGGGTATTATATATAGTCTTACCGCTTCTCTCCAGTGGTAAACATAAAAACAAAATAAAAAAAAAGGAGTAAGTACTTAAATCTCCTGAGAAAGTGCTACAAATTCCAAGAAGAACATTTGAAAGAAAATGACACTGAGAAATATGTCAAAAAATGGATAAGTGGGATGCTTCATATGCATCATCAAACCAAGTGAATTTTGAATCGCTGTGCACACTTACCACTGAGTGTGTTTATGCTGGTTCTTAAATGATGCAATGGATGAGAGAAGAACTCTGAATATAGGCTGTACCGTTTTAAGGTCACAGTCCACAAACTGAAAAAAAAAAAAAAGAGGAGGCAAACGGAACTGAAAACCAGCAGCTACCCACCTTAAAATTCCAGCTCAAGAACTATATCCCTCAAACCCTGAAGACAAAATAAACTCACCCACCTTAAACTGCTTCCTTTCTGATCTTTGCCACAGTAAAGAAAATATCTGTGATAGTAGTCTGCACTGAGTTGTGAAACCAAAATTTCATGGATGTTTTCCTGGAATGTTCTGTAAAGGAAGGTAAAGGTGGCTCTTTATAGGCAAACAAAAACACCTAGACAAAGCAAAGGCTCGTTGTGATCACCTCACTCAGACAGAGCGTCTTTTTAGACCCATAGATGGATAGGCCAGTCTAAGACAAAGGGCTTAGTTACATCCCTCCTTGCCTGAGGTCACTACAGTTCCACACTCTTTGGGCACATTGATAACAGCGCCTCCTTCCTCTTTACTCTCAGAGTCAACTTGGTAGATGGTTATTTGATTACCAATTGACAGAATGTGCAAGGGTAGCTATGTGACTGCCTTTTGCTGTGATTGGGCTGACAGGGACACATGTGGGAAGGACATACTAACACTCATAGGGAGTTAATGACCCTGAATTATGTATTGAAAACACTAGTAAAGAAAGTAACAATAATTTCGCCATTACTTAATTAAAAAGAAATCCACAATTCATAAACTAACTGCAGGAACAATAGATTCCCAATATACACCAAAATGGCAAGAACTTTTTTTCCCAATTCAACATGAAGTCAGTTATGGGATAATGTCTAAAATGGCAGGTTTCTTTTTTCTACCAGTTAAAGAGTTAAAAGACAGCAAACAGCATAGCGCAAAGGGAAGTATTTATTGTCAAGACTCACAGATTCTTTAATAAAGAAGTGGCAAGGGGCTTTGTATTTGTTAACCTGTTGTGTTTAGAAGGGACATTGTCCATCCCATTATTTGATGGCTCCATTTCAACTATCCATATATAAGCTGGGCATAATGACACATGCCTTTAATTCCAGTCCTTAGAAGGCAGAGGCAGGCTGATCTTTGAGCTGGGAGCCAACCAACTTTGAGAGGTTCAGCATT